AAGCTAATTTATGCCAATATTAAACTATTTTTAATATTAATATTAATTGATAACCAATTTTTTATTTATTAAAATGCTGATTTTTTTGGCAATAATTAATAGAATTATACTATTTTTTGGCAAACTTTAGTATTTTAAAATGTGACAAATTGTATTATTTATTTAATGATATGAGAGGTTTGCTAGGAATATGAGGGCTCTGAGTATTTTTTATTAAAATTTTAATTTTTATTTTAATCTAACATTATCAAAAATTAAAATGTAATAAAAATTAAAATTTTAATAAAAAATACTCAAAGTCCCATTTTACTAGCAAACCTTCCATATATTATATAATTATTAATTGTTAAATGATAATTTTTATTAAGTAACAGTTATATTAAACAATTTTAGTTATAACAAAAATGATATTTTTTAATAATGATCAGCAGAAATTAGATTATATTTAAACCAATATTATACTTTAAAAAAGTAGCGAAATGGATTATTAGTATTAGTGTAACTAAATATTTTTAATAGTTGTATATTTTGTATAGCAATATTTTTGAAAATTTATAAAATAATTAATTATTTCTAATGTATTTAGTAATTTATGTTTTTTACTTTTCTGATTGAATATTGTTAGCAGTAATATAATAAGTATTTTGAAAGTTTTTATATTATAAAGATTTTAACAAGAATTTACAAAAAAAAATTTTTTATTTTTGCAAGCATTTAATTTATACTGCTTAATTTGCAATTAATTCTTTATTTTTTACAAATTTCAATGAAAAGAAAATATATCTATTTATATTTTTATCAACTTAAGTATTATCAAATAATTTATTAATAATAGAATAGATAAATATATTTATATTTTAATATATCATATATGCTAATTATAATATTAAAGTTTTCTTTTTTTTTATGTTTTAAATAATATATTTTACATTTTATAAATAACTGAATTTAATTAATAATAATTTTAATTTCAATTATTTAATATCAAAAATTAATGTTATGTGAGTATTGAGGATTGTGAAAGAATAAGAAAATCTTGATAATAAATAGTAAACCTAAGTAGTTTAAATAAGTTTCGTATTTTTTTTAAATTAAAATTTAGTAAAAATATTAACAAGTATAAAAGACAGATTAAAAATCCGCAAATTTAGAAAGATTAAGTATTACAATATAAAATTTAAATTTTTTTATTAATAAATAAATCTATCTAATTAATTAACATCATATGAGATTTTTTGGGGAATTTTTGGAATTGTTGTGAATTTATTTTTATAACTACCTAAAGACAAATATTAATTTACAATATATTCCTCTTAAACAAAACATTAATGCTCTAATAAAGATAAATGAATTCTATTTTTAATAAAGATTAACATTTCTAATTGGATTAACTTAAGACTAAACAATTTATTTTATTATTAAATTGTTTTATTTTTGCAAAGAATATGTGAAACTTGAAATCAATCAATCCTAAATTAATTTTGGTTTGAAAAGATCATAAAAACAAAAAAAAATCATGCATTTAAATTTTATGTCTGTCTGATTATGTAATATACACTTAAGTGTACCATTATACATCCAGTTTCATACGTTTTATTTTAAGTATTACTTTAAATTTGAGACAACACGTGTGCTTTATTAATTCTGTTTTTTTTTGATTTTTGATTTTATCTTTATTTTTTTATTTTATTATTATTATTATTATGATTAATATTTTATCAAAATTTCCATACAATTAAAAAAAAATATTGTATTATCTATCAATATTCATAGAAAGGAGTAATAAAATCTATAGGATCAGAAATGTTTGGGATGGATCTCTCCAATTCTTCTAATGCGTAATAACTAGAATATTCATTATATCGTTCATCCATATCATCGTCAGTGGTAAAATAAAAGTCGTCATTTAAATATATATAATGATATCTAAATTTCTTCAATGATTTCTTTTGTTTGGCATACTCTGTCAAGACCTTAAAGTGCTGAGCAGTGATTAATTCTTTATTATGAAAAGTAATTTCATTTAATGATGCCCTGCATTTGTCCAATAAGAAGAATCTCAACTCCTTACTTGAAATCATAAAATCAAATTCCAATACCTTCAGTGAAGTGGGGATCTGATAAATCAAGTCCCAAATGATGATTTCATCAAAGAATATTTGATTTTTAGAAGGGGGCTGTATGAGATTTTCCGAATATTTTAATTTTAAATGATTTAGTTTTGGTAAGTCGACAATTAATTTTAAACAAGAAATCAAATTGTTATTGTCAATGATCGTGGATAAATGTGTTATATTTGGACAATTTATAAGCATAGAAGGAACTTTGTTGTTTGATAATGAGAAGGTCAGCGTCTCCAATGTTTTATTTGAATATTCTAATAAGGTCTGCAACACTTTATAGCTATCATCTTTATTATACGGGTAACCATCCTTGGGTAAGAAAAATATATTCTTGAGATTGAACTTGATGACGGTATTCCTTGTGATGGATTCAAATGTAATCCTATTTTCCCTTGCCTGATTACCATTTATGATTGGCTCCTCATAGGGAACTATTGGCAACTCTATCGTTTCCAGACTTTTCAACTCAAACATTAAGAGAAGGAAATTATCCAACGTAATTTGAAATTCCAACCTTAGAAAAGTCAAACAATTAGATTGCGAAATAAGCGAATTATAAAATCTCTTATATCCAAATGAATCCGTGGCATCCGATATGTCCAGTGTCTTCAAATTTTGTTGTTGTTCAATTATGTTTGAAAGTATTCTCATGATTTCTTTGGATTCTGTTGATGGGACGAATGGTTTATAATCCAAACAGAGACATTTAATGGTTTTATTGCGTGAGATAAGTGAATTCAATAGATTTTTCGTTAGGGAGATTAAATGTTCCAATTCATCAAAATTTTGAAATTCATTAAAATCAAATTCCTCAAAATGGTATTCTATGTCAAATTCTTGAATTTGTGATAACACGTCGCTTGATCCTCTATAAGAAGTGATGTCAATAAATTGTATATTCTCATCATTAATCAGGTACATGGTATGATAATTAATGTGAAAGATTAAATTTCTCATTTTATTAACTTGATTAAAAAATAGGTTTTCAAAAATTTCATTCGTGAGAACTTCCTGACACAATTTCGTTTCTTCCTTCTCAACACACCAACAATGTATTGAATAGATGATCCTTATGTATTCGAACTCAACTAGGTATTTATGATATTCAATAGATGAAGGAGAGGAACCATTAGTGTTGATGATACCTTCATCAAGTAAATGTTTAATACGATCTTGAGGGAGGCATTTTATATACGTTCGTATGATCAACGATAACCTTTGCGTTGGGATTGTAAAAGAGAATGGATCATTCCATAATTTTGGTATCGCTAAATGGAAGAAAAAACGATTCACAAATAAACATGAATATAATGTTGATTTGTCATCAATAAATTGAAAAATATCAGTAATACAATCATCTGGCAACTTTACTATCGGTTTAAGATTTTCAAAGGTAATGTAAGACATTTTTTTTTTCAAGGGAGTTGATTTTTTGGAATCATAAATTCTGAAGGAATTTAAGGAGAGAAAAAGATTTCCATTTTGATTAGAAATTTCTGATTATTTATATTTATTTGAAATCTGTGACATGTGTGTAATGTGATACCATGCCGGTTTCGGCATAATGCTTGAACAAAAAACCTTTGATGACCCTGATTGTAAACTTGTGGCGCAATATATTGTTACACTGTTTGAATCATCACATATTATCACACATCAAAATTTCTCTCACTTTCATCTTTGGATGATAGGTAAAAATGATTGCTATTTATAATGGCCATTTAGGATGGTTTTGGATGTCGATCATTTTTCACGAATTTTTTTTATTCTCACACATATTTTTATTTTTATATAAAAATAAATAAATAAAATACAAAATAAAAATAAATAAAATAAAGATAAAGAAATACGAATTATTGCCGAGGTATCGTTCGACTTCTATGGAGAAAGACAATAAAGATACATGAAATTCTTGATAATGTTACCCATTTATACAAATAATGAGGTGCAATACCAAATTAGGTTAGGATGAGTTAATATTAACATATTACAAGAGGGATCAAAAAGCATCCCTTTATTGAAGTCAATTTAGTCAAATGATCAATTCAATATGAACCAACTTTGTCAAGTAAAATGCCCGTCATCATTTGATTAAACCTTTAAAATTAAATTAACACATGGATTGAAATCTGGATAAATTTTTTTGTTTGATTTGGTTGATTTCAAATCTCGAGACTGAAAATAAAAAAAAAACTTTTCTGGACGATCCTTCTATAAAAATTTGAATATAACGTGCGATGACATCAATTATAAAATGTTTCATTAAATTACCGATTTTGTCCAAATAAACATCCGAAAATATGTCATAAAATGGGATGTTTACCGAATGCAAATTTTGTGTCATTTCCTAACGCAGCAAAACGGAATTCCAAACAGATTCCTGAATTCCATGGATTCCTTTCATGTTCGAAAGTCCCTACAAAATCCAAATATTAAATTACTGTCAGAAAGCTATTATATGCAAGCTAATGTTTTAAAATCGAAAATATTAATTCTCTTACCATTTTTACATAAGTTACGTAATTAAAAAAAAAAGCTATCTGAAACCATGTATCCATCTTCACAATCCGTAATACAGAAAATCTTTGCTGTGTTATAGATGATCATACATTCATCGAGTGAAAAGTGAAACCAAACAATTCCGGAACTTCGTTTATCCTTGCTTTGTCTCAGCGTCAAACGGAATGATACATTGTTCTATTATTAAATTTTTAGGTGTAGGAAAGGATTTCGCGGAACATGATGGAAATTTGAAACCAAAGAGATGATCGCACCTCATTTGGATCTGTGTAGATTATCCTTCCCATTTTTGAGTTGGAAAGGTTGCTAATAGATCAACGCATACACCAATGAGAGAAAATACAGTATGTTTAACTAAATTTGTTATGTTCTTTATGTTGATTTTTTGTTTATTTATTTATCAAGTTTCTTATATTAAAAAGGTTCAGAACTTTTTTTAATATCCAGGATGATCAAAAATAAATCTATAAAAAAAAATATATATATTTTTAAACCTGGAACCTCCCTTGCATGAAACATGCATGGATAAGATAGAATTTTTTTCTTGCTTCCTTTTTTTTTGCATGAGGGGAATAGTAGCGAAATACTTTTTAATAATTGCTTTTTTTTCCCGAACGATTTTCATCATTGAGCCGTTGCGAGTTTATGTGGAGCCAACCAAAATTTAAAACCTCTTAAATGATAAATGTAAAAGATTATTGACGGCATCTATCTAGGCAACTAAATTTTGTCACTAACTAAATGAACACAATTATGACAAGATTTTTATTTTGAAATACGCGATATTTTTTTTAATTCAGAAAGCAGAGTTCAACTGTGTTTCATTTCACTACGTCATTTAATTTGTCCAAATTAGTTAAAATAGAACAAAAAATTTCACTGGATAGCTTGCATGTCTTGATGATTTCCTGACATATTCTTTATTTACGTGTTACTACAACTATAATCGAAGAGTTATCACTGAATACGTTTCTATTACAATACAGAAAAAATGAATTTCTTTTAGTCGCAGAAAATTTTCATTACGTTATAAATACGATAAAAAAAATTTTTTCGAGTGATTTCTCATAAAAATTCCAAAAAAATAATAAAATAAAAATAAAGAAATGAAAAATGAAACAAAGAAGTAGAAAGATAGTAAAATATTTAAAATGAACACTACGATTTAGAAAATTAAGCAACGGGTCAATTCGGTCAGTGTGTATAGTTTCTTAGGAAAATCGATTATGCTAGTATTTATACACCTTCGCATAATAATTATGCACTTGCGGCTTATTCAAGAGATGGATTTCAAAGATTAACACTACAAATTTTGATGATAATTCAATTTTGCACGCCGGGATATTTTGAATCGTCTTCTTCGTCTTCTTCTTTTGCTTAAATATGTAATATTTTATAAAGAAACAATAGCGAAAATATAGATCGTTTTTCATATTAAGACATTTATTATATTAAATTTATTACATTAAATTTAAACTAATAAGTTTTTTTTTATTATTGTTTTATTTTATTTTTTTTAAAAAAAAATCTATAAGCTTTACTTTCGAAAATAAATTACAGAAATAAATCACAAACCATTATAAATAATATTTATTCGTAAAAATATAGGTCATTTAAATAAACACAATATAGAATCCAAAATTTGGAATTCCTACATTCTACATTTCGATCAATGTGGAATCCTATAAATTAATAAAAATATTTTCCGTTCCGTTAAATCCTAATTTCCGTTATTCATAACTTTGGTGATAACGTTTATTCTATATGTCACTTTTCGCATGAACGTTTTGAGTTATAATTGTATTATTGTGACCATGGATACCGTCTAACGACAATAAACTGTATTAACAATCCCGTCGTGATTATTGAAATGTGCTTTTACCGTATGATTGATTGTATTGTGGATTTTTATATTGTAATTCGATAAGGAGCTTTAAAGAATCGGAGATCTGAAACAGATTTACGAGTTATATTTCCATTGGCTAGAATCTTATGAATGTAGAACGCAATGGAATAACCTATTTGAATATAAACCGAACGACATTACGTAAATATTGAAATCTTTATGATTTTTAACACTTGTTTGAACCAAATATATTGATTACGTAAAGTGAAGTGACATGTCAAAACGCCACATTTATTTTTAAAAATCATGTATAAAATTATTATAATGAAAGACGGAGTTACGGCTTGTATGAGCTTCGAATCATAATAGCGATTTTAACGGAATCATGTTAGTTTGTCTTATTATTTGGTCGACAAACAACGATATGCGATTATGACGAATAACAAAATAAAGTATAATAATATCAATAAAAAACTGAATCAGTCATATTTTATTCGAAAGATATTTCAAAAATATTATCATATTATGACGATTTATCAGCTAACAATATAAGAAGATTTTTTTTGGTACGAAATGAAAATCGTTGCCTATTATTTTCAATCAAAAAAAAAAATCCATTGAAAAAAATACAATCGGATTACCATATTTCGTCTTAGGGTGCCCAGTGACACCAAATTTAATTGGTTTATTTAGTCGATCACATGATCAAATTTTCATCTATACTGTATAGATTAATAAAGTTTTTAGTCTTTTAGATTATGAGTGTGATGAATTTATATCAGATAATTTTTATCAAATTAAGAATCTATATTTAAAATATCAAATTATTTAACTTACCATTAAATAGTTGTATTATTCACTTTCATTTCTTTCAAATTTTCAAGATTTAGAAATATGGATTTACAAGGATTTGATTTACTTTGAAATTTCTAAAAATTATTACTAAATTTACATCTTATTATAATTATGATGGTAAGGGGCCGGGCAAAAAATAATTTTTAGATTTCTCGAGACATAAAATTATAAAATTGACACGGTCACCCGGTTTTTATTTGGTATTTAAAATATTTTTTTACTTTATATAATACTGTACGTTAAATTTTTTATAATAAAGTATATTCCACCAGCACCATTACGATTTTCATTATATAAAGTCACGTGATAAAAAATTTTACTATAAAAAAAATCAAAAAAAAAAATTTTTTTGCCCGACCTAATAATGGGAATATTGATGATGAAATCTTAGCCTTGCTACACGAATTAAGAAAAAGAATTAAGAAATTAACAGAATAGCATTTTTTGCTGCACAAAATACACGTGATTTCGCACCGTCTTACGGAGGATTTAAACGTTATGTATATTTGAAGAAATAATTTATGTTAAAAAAGAATTTCTGTGTTTAAGCTAGAAAATAAGTTTTAAAAGTATCCATGATTTTTAATTCCTGGAAAAAAGTTGAAAAAATGAAAATTGTTGAAGGTTAGTCGTCTCATTAAGATAAACGAACGAACTTACCATTTATTAATACAAGTACTTGTCAAATTTATGTCTTAATATGAATATCTCGTTCATGCTTTATAATATTTGAAATTTCAATTTGGAAAATTCCTCAACAGACCATTTTTTTTTATTTAATTAATTATTTTTGACAATTTCAAGAGATTAACCAGGATTTCGAATAACGCGGGAGCGAACATACTTTTTTTTTTCTTTCTTGAATATTTGAATTTAGATATTTACCCTGCTTGCAGAGAAGACCCGCTAATTTCAAGTTAATGAGTAATTAATGCTCACTCTGAACAAATATTTTACAAGATAAAATTTTCAAACCTTTAGTCAATCTTAGTCTACTAAACAATCAATTGTTAATGTTGGGTTGTTTATAACAAATTATGATGCTAGTGGTGGCTAGTCGACTCCGAATTTAACTTCCAACGATTGACGAAAATGTTTTCTTTTTTTACGTTGTTTACGAAAAATTTGAATGATAAAAACTTAAGCAAAAGAAGAAGAAATTTGACATCCCATTTGTTGCAAGAACATTTGTAATCTAGAAAAGAAAAAAATATTAAAGCAATACTGCGAAAAATCAAGAAATTCTGGTTGTATATTATGAAACTCATTTTGATTAAAAATAAGATATTCATCCGATTGAGTTGATGGATGAAATAATAGTTTTAATATATTTTTCTCTCATTCTTTCTAACGAGCGTTCATGATTACAAAAATTATTAAAATGCTTCAAATAATAAAAATTATTTGTTGAATGAAAAATGAAAATCCAATTACATATATTCATCTACAAGACTAATTCTTGAAACAGAACTTTTCATTTTTAATTATAAACGATTTTTAGTATTTCACCTGTATTAAAAATATATATATATATTCTTGCACTCTTGCATTTATTTCTGTATTCGAAGCCTATTTAAGAAAACATATGTAATGTTATTTATCAAGTTACATTATATTTCTTATTTATGTTGCAAAGTATAATTCTATTGACATTTTGTATTAATAATTTTTTAATTTTTGTGAAATTGTTTGTCGTAAATCACACAAATCGTTTTTCCGATAAAAAAAAAAAGATCATCTGAACCTTGAATTATATTTGTGTACATGGTTTTATCAAGAAATCAACCGATAATAATGAAGCCGTTTAAAGTGATGTGCTTGTCAAATGTCGAATAGAACAAGTTACTTTAAATTAGCAAAAGATCATTTATTCACGTTTTTATGATGTCGAACATGTCAAATCCACAGATTTGATCTAAAAATAATTGACCCTTTCCGTTGGAACTCTGTCTATTGATGAACCTTGTTTCAAATCGTTCTACTTGATATTTTAAATTTACGTCACACAAATATTGAAATTAATTTTTTTTAAAAAAAAAAACTTTATTAAAAAAAGAAAGAAAGGATATAAAACATTTATCGAATAAAAATACAATTGCGAAATTATTTTTAAAATGGAACTAAACTTTAGAAATAGGTAGCTGGTTCAAAGAAATAAACTTTACTTATTATTCGTATCGATAACGAAGAAATATTTTTAATAACACGGAAATAGCGGCAAATTAAAAGATCAACCATTTATTTACCGCAGCAACACCGTTGACCGAATGTGGTGTTTTGCTATTAATTATTAACTTATACTTTGCCAAGTTACTTCAGCAAATCCCATAATACCAAGACCTTTCAAAAAATATATATATAGCCCAAAAATCCCAACTTATTTTGTTCCTCATTTTTGCGCATCGGCGTTTAATTGGGAACTTATCTGAAGCGCATTGCTTACTCATCTCTCTGAATGAATGTGACGTGAAATCTGTAAGTGGGCAGGGTGGTATTATTAATAAACTACAGTTTGTGAGAATGCATCAGAGGTTATAAAAGTTTTAATCAGGCTTTTGATTGTAAATACATGTGTAGTTTAGCATTAAATGATAAGTTACTGAATTAATGTCAAAAAACAAAAACCAAGATTAATGCAACTATTATCAAAAGGAATAAATTTTCATTCAATTAAAAACTCTACACACTATTGTTCTTTTGAATATTAGCTAATCTAACCAAATTATTTGTTAATTAAACGTTAGCGACAGGTTTTGTTGTTTGTTGTAGCTGCCGTTGCTGCTGTAGATATTGTTCCTGTAATTTCCTTACTTCTTTATGATCTCGCATAATTCGTTTGTGCTTTTTATAAATATAGGTTATGATTGCAGTTATAATTACACCAAATGCAAGGCTACCAATGCATGTGGAAATAATCGTAATAAGATATCTAGGTTCATCTGTTTCAGGATCATCAGTTTGTTTATTGGACGGTGACTTTCCTAGAGCTTTTTTAGGTTTGGAACGAGACATTGGACTGAAGGAGCTATTTATTATATATTCATTAATCCATTGGTAATTCATTACATCAAATAGGTAAACACGATCGTTAAGTTTTTCTCTTCCGTCAGTTACATTTCCTATAATAAATTTTTCATTGAAAACAAAATTAAAATCAAAACAAATACAAAATTAAAGCAATTTTTTTTTTTTTTTTACCAAATGTGACAACCATATAGTCATTTATAATAGAAGCCGAGTGAAGCATTAAAGGTAATGGAGAGGCATAAGGTTCTTCTGATATAAATGGTAAAATCCAAGTAAACGTTCTTCCGTCATTTGTATCTAATACAACTAAACTTGGTTGAGCACTTCCATGAACAACATTTTCGCCTCCAAATACAATTATGCGTCCATCATCAGTTAGTGATGCTGTATGAAATCGACGTGCATCGATATTTTTCGCTCCACTAGCAAACTAGTAATTCAACTTTAAATTAGTTTTTCCTGTTGGATCAATGAAGTTTCAATCTTTCCAATCTTTTAAATGACTCACTTTTAAATCCCATTTATTTATGTTGGTATCATATATGTAAATCTAATTTAAACATGAAAAAAATATATATACATTATTTCTTTTCAAAAAAAAAATTTTTTTTATAATAAATTAAGTAGGAACATACCTGGTTCATTTCTATGAATCGTTCTTTATCGCCTAGTGGTATTTCCCAACCTCCAATACAAATAATTAGACCGTTGGGTAATAGTGTTGTAGAATAATCAAAACGTTGTGTGGGAACATCGGACCCAATACTCGACGTCCATACCATTGTCTCTAGATCAAGAACGTATTGATCTGTAAACCATTTTGTGATCGGAGATCCAGTATCTTTATTTGTAACGCCACCAAATATTCTAATTTTATTTGATTTGTCAATGACTGAAGACAATTCAAATCTCCTTTCTGGCTCTCCCTCTGTAGTTGAAGTTGCCCATTCATTTGAATCTGTGTTAAAGACATGAACGAAAGATGAAAATTTGTCTTCATCGGTCTTGACATCAACCATTATTCCACCTATTAGGTAAATAATGTAGGTACCATTATCATTTAAGTGAGACACGGCTGTTGATAATGAATTTGCGAAGGGGATTTGAGATTTTGGTGTAATATTTATCCATGAAGGTGATTTTATATTAAATGGAGTTGACAAATCTAAATATAAAACTTCATCCAATGCTGCTGAAATGTTTGCTTGAGGTAGTTGTTCCCCTCCAAAGTGATATATCTTATCGCCAACTAATACAGAACTTTGTCCATAACGTCCTACCGGAGTGTATGAATCTATCAAAACCACCACCCAAGATAAAAGGATATATATCGAAACAACTAATTTGTTCTTATGAGGTGAATACATTTTTTATTACAAAAAGGAATGACTACACATTGATCCAGAAGTTTTTTTTTTTGATTAAAAAAAAAATAAAACAATAAAAAGATAAAAAAAATAATAATGATAAAACACAAAAAAATAGGGAAAAGAAAACCTTTCCTAAATTAAAATAAATGATTTTTTATTTATTTATTTATTATTATTAAATTTAAATTTTTTTTTTATTCATCATTCAAATACGGTACAAAATAAGACTTTTGGTGGTCCATCCAAAATTATTTCAAAGAATGGGTACATAATATAAATATTTATGCAAAAACAAAATGTTTTAATTGTTTGTTTATGAATATTTATTTTTTCTAATAGTCTAATAGGTATACCGAAATATTGTTGTATAACCTTTACTTACATTAATTTCTTCAATTCATTCTTGCGATCATCTTACATTTTACCTTTAATAGTAAAACAAAAGTATGCTAAATCCTTTTTAAACTATTAAGAACAAATTATTTATGTGCTGTTATTTTTTTCTTTGGTTCTTTCGGGTAGTCTCAAAGATGTTGCATTATTAAGGATTCGACTGAAATTGCTGCATGTTAATTAATTAATTTGTGCTTTAAGGCATATGGATAGTTCGGGATTCAAATAAAGCTTAGGGTTTGTACATCAAATTTAAATTACATTACACACGCAAACGAGGGTTCTCATTACATGAAAAGCTAGAATTGGAAATTCTATGTCCATCAAATCTTTTTTTTTTTTTTCTTTTCTTTTTTATAATTTTTTTTGTTTTAGAATTATTTCTTTCGTAAAACAAAAGGAATTTAATTTCAATTACTTATATCTTTTTGGCAATTAATAATAATGAATGCATCTTACCTTATTCGTAAGTAGATTTCTTTTATAATTCTTTACAAGTCAATAAAATAATTAATAATAAAAAAAAAAAAAAGTGAAAAATGTAAACAAATATGTCATGGAGAAAAACTTGTACTCGTTAATCAAATAACAAACAAAACGAGGGGTGATAACTGTCAGCGACATTCTATTATAGGAAAATTTTTTTGCTTTTGCAGGTAATCGCGATGTAACATGTTTTAATCGACTGTCTAAAATCTGTCATCTTTTACGACGCATCCTTTCATTTAAATATTTGTCAATTGCTCCTCTGATACCGTAATGTATTATTATCTAAAACATAATATATCATTAGTATATTATATATGGCGTGAAGAATTAAAGATAAAAAATAAAATAAAATGAGCGAATAAAGTGAGAAATACATTAAAAGTCCAAATATAGCGTAAAAGGATAAATATTATTTGACAGTTTTTTGTTTTAAACAAAGTAATTAGTAATTGGTTTTTATATGCGTTTGACCCCATCAGCGTCAATTATTCTGACAGTATTTTGAACAGCTAGTTTGTTCCCAAAGATCTTTATGATTCATTTCAACACAAATGAACCTTAAGTTTTGCATTAAATGGCAGGGATACTATTTTTTCTTGTTTTTTGTTTATTTCTTTTTTATTTAAGCAGAAACTCTTGATTCAAAAAATAGTTTTATTGAAACATTAGCAAACTCTATTTTGATTATTCCACTGCTTTGACTGGCTTGTAATTAACGAAAAGTCTCTTGTTATTTTAAGAGTTGCTTACTGTAATGATTTAATAATAATGATTAAATTCTTTTGATTTCTATGCTTGCAGTACCCGTATTTCTTATTAAATATGGTTACACAAAATATGTAATTGTCATACAAAAATCTTTTGTTACATTTTAATAGTGCACTACGTCTTTTCTTGTCCACATAAATTAAGTGTTATCTGGATATTAGATTTTTTTTTTCTATTAAGGATGAACAAGTTCAATTAATTTAAGTGTGTAAATTAGATATGCATGAAATTAAAAATTTTCATTTTTACACAAAAAAATTATCGAAATCATTAATTCGCTCAATTTAGAATTTTATAAATCGGGAGAAATTTTTACTAATCTGAAGATTTATTCTCCTTTTTCTTGGCAAACCATAAACATAACAGAATCTCCTGAAGTTGCACACATACCTTCAATTTTTTTGGAATACAATGCGTCATGATTTAATGTTATCATTTATTCACACAATTGAGACCTTAATTTGTGCCAAGATGTCTAAGACAAATATTTGCATGTGATGTCGTATTTATTCGTATTAACGTATTGCGTGTAATGTCTCTTTGCGTGTGAGATCAGCCTTCTACTAATTCAAAAACAAATTTTCTCTACGACCGCTCATAGTTACAAAGTAAGTTCGGTATAAAATGCAAACAATACAAAAGGATACTGATATGCAAAAATGCATTTGTTTGTTTTACTAGATCAAAAAATAAAAATAAAATCTTTGATGTGGTAATATTTATTTATCTTTGCAGCTCAAATTAAATCGCAAAATAAGCCTTTTACGCCATCTAGCATGAACGTAGGTACGAAATTTTTTTTATTTTAAAAAAAAAAATTTACAATATTTCGCATTATTAATTATGTAAAAAAATATTACAGATATCCTTTTTGTCCAATATGTTGTTATATAAAATTGGGCATATGATGCAATGCTGTCGAATTATATGTTATCAACTCCGAACTTATTATTGAATAATAAAAAAAAGTTTTACCGTTCATAATGTATATTTAGGTTCGAAATTAATCTTCAAAAGTCGTCCTGATCGACTTTTAAAGTAATAATTAATTAATTGGTTCATAATTTTAAAAATTCTTTTTATGAAACTCTGGCCAATAACGAATTTTTAATTAATGCTTTATTAGAAATCTCTTATTGATGAAATATGGTTACAAGATGAACGAACCATTTTTAATAGTTATAACACCAAATTTTAAATAATTAGTCAATTAATTCGTAAGTAGTTTTGTAAGATCAATAACGGGTTTTTTTTTTGTTTTAAAAAGATCCATGTTTGTTTCAAATAAAAATTACAAATAAATAAATTTAAATAAACTTTAAAACACGTAATTCTAGAAACTTTAATTTCGGTCAGTTTAGCATAAATTTAGATTGATAGATTTTTTTTTTTAGGTGAATGATATTCGAATATTCATTTATCAAATTCGATAGTTGATACCCTACCCCCTACTGTTGATTAGTTAACTCGGGACAAAATAATAATTTGAATATTGAATGCAAAACTAGAATAAATTTAAAATGAATTTTCATAATATTTGTAATATTTCAATAATTTATATTAAGTTTTCCCGGAAATTTCATATTATAACCGATATGTAAAAAGCCGCAAAAGTCCCGATATTTTTCGGCTCCAATTTTTAAAGATTAAATCCTGAAAATAATTTTTTTTGTTCAATAAAAAAATGTCTATTTTGCTCAATCACATCACAAGGTTTTCTCTCCCTACCTCACGCACTCTTCGATCAGCAGTAATTTTCTCATCTACTGCCACATTATCTGACAAAACCTTAAAGAACTCACGAAAATTTGTAATGAAGCTTAAAAAACGAGGTTTCAATAAATGTGATATGAATGCTTTAAGAGTGAGCTTCAAGCCAGCTCTCAAGTATGACGTCCTCCCTTATTATATAGAAGGTACGAACTATGCTGTTCAACAACTTTTAGTGAGCCTTAATGAAATATATTTAGTTACTCGGCTTTTTGAGAAATATACTGTTTCCAATATCTAAATCATAACACTTACAGATAATAATTTTAATGTTAACAGTTTTAAAGGAATTTCGGACGGTCGTGTCAAATCATCTTAACCAATATACACAAAGTTGTCAAGAGTTCAGGTTATTATGAAGGCACGGATGAATCTGAGACCGAAACAATGATAGCACATTTATTAACTAGGGTTTTTGAATTTCTTCATCCCTTGAGTCATAGGTGAGGATTTTGAGTGTTTGTAATGCATCCCAACGATTTCATTAAAATTTACATTATTTTTGACATTAGAACTCGCCCGCGAAACAAAGTATTAAATTCTTGGTTAATAGCAATGAGAAGAATGTTTCTATGTTATGATTGTTTAAATCTTTCACTTGATAACTCAAAAATTTTCTTTTAACAGGATAAAAAAACTGAAGAAATCATCCCTTATTAGTTCAAAAGGCTTTGGGGAAGAACAAATAGCATCCGATATGCTCGTAATTTCGGATCAAATTATTTGGAGTTCGCGCCATCTCTTCGAGCTTTACATTTTACAAAACTGTAATCCATGCAAAATATTTGAAAACAACTTACCACTGAACGAGTCTATTGTTATTAACAGATGGTCAAAAGACGAAAATCCAAGGGCTGATCTAGGCATTGCAAATGGGAGACGAGAAGTGCTGGAAGCTTCAACAATTTCTTCTGCAATAAATTGAAATTAAATACAATACCATAAATTGAACTTAGCACGTTGTTTGATAATCGAAACATATGTATTCTATTGGAAGTAGAAAGATTAAGAAAATCAAGTTTCTTATTTCTAAGAATAGGTTCGTCAAATAATTGAATTTTGATGTAGGGTAAAATATAAAATAACCAATTTTAATATGAGCTGGAATATAGGAAATCTATAAACATTTTTGATCTCCTGTAATTGCAGACTATAAATATAAAATATTAACAATTTGCATAATCTTTATTATCTTACTCTTATTCTAATATTTTATTAACTGCAAGAAATATATTTATAAATGACTATTTGTATTGTATAAAAGTCACTTAAAAGTAAAATTAACTGATTGATAATGAAATACTATTTATATACTATCATAAAAATTATAAAAATTAAATAAACATATCCAAAAGAATAAAGTATATATTTAAGATAATTTATTGAATTAGATATTTAACAAGCAAATTTAACTTGTTTATTCAAATATTTTCTAATACTTATAAAAATCTTAATTGAATAATTTATGATTTATCAAGTTTAGACCTAAAATACAAAGAAATATAAAAGATTGTTTTAAACTAATACTAATTACTTTTATTATATCTAAAGTATCTTTATTTTTATGATTTATTGAT